TGAAAGGAAAATGTATACGACTTAATGGACTGAAACATTCCTTCCCAATTAAATTTATACTGCATATAAATATCATACTGACGAGGTCCAGTTTATCGTACTGAAAAGGAATGTATACGACTCAATAGGCTGAAACATTCACTACATCATTCTTTTTAACTTATAATGCTTTCACCGCAACTGTCGTACTGACGAGATCCAGTTATGGTACTAAAAATGAAATGTATACGACTCAATGGACTGAAACATTCCTTTCCAGTTAAATTTATACTGGATATATTTTTTTTAACATTTCTTCCCCTTTTTTACTCTTTTTTGATCTTTTCTATCATCTATTTCTACATTTTCTAATAAAATTTCCACTTGACCTTAAATGTCATACTGACGAGATCAAGTTATGGTACTGAAAGGGAATGTATACGACTCAATGGACTGAAACATTCCTCCCAGTTAAATTTATACTGCATATAAATGTCATACTGACGAGGTCCAGCTTATGGTATTACAGAGGAAATGTATACGACTTAATGGACTGAAACATCCCTTCCTAGTTAAATTTATACTGCATACATTTTTTTTACATTTTTCCCCCTTTTTTACTTATTTTTGATCTTTTCTATCATCCATTTCTACATTTTCTAATAAAATTTTCACTTGACCTTAAATGTCATACTGACGAGATCCAGTTATGGTACTGAAAAAGAAATGTATACGACTCAATGGACTGAAACATTCCTTTCCAGTCAAGTTTATAATGCATTACCTATTCATGCTTTTTCTTTACAATACATATCTCTCGTTATTTCCTAGCTAATTTTTTGCCTCAAAAAATCGCATATTATTATTTTTAAACAAAAACTCGTGAAAGTAACCTGTAACCAAAGAAAGTTCGGCAAAATTGCTTGGATGCCATCGTTGCTGTTCCGGCAATCGATGCCGTAGTCGTCGTCGAGTCGTAGTTTGCTGCGGTTGCTGCTGCTGTTCCTCGGTTCTCTGGCTCTCCGGTTCCTGGTCGGGGGCTTGCAGCTCTTCCCGGAGCCTGAGCATTCGGGTAAGTTCTTTGTCAATACGCCGTTTCTTGGAGGGACCACCACCATCATCACCACTCATCCTGCGTACTCGATCACGCAGAAGAAGCCTTGCACGAATACGAAATATGGACGCCAATGAATTATTGGTCGGGCAAGACATCCTTTTTTTTTCCCTCGAGAATTTTCCTGCAAAAAAGAAGCCATCCCCATAGATCAAAGATCAAATTACGCCATCTGTGCGCTTCTGCAATACTTCTAATCATCTGTATGCACAAATTTCGCCTCCCGGGATGCTCGATTTGACGAGATTTTACAGTTAGAGCGCGAAAATTTCGCGCCCATGCATCCAAATTTACTTGGTTTGAAATGAAATAAGATATTTTTGTGTTAAAAGAAAAACTAGTGAAATATAT